ATAAAGTGCACAAAAATTTTGCGACACTGCACAAAAAAAAATATTTCATGTGCACGTGTGCACATGTGATTTTTTTCAGATTTTATACGCTGGATTATGCTTAATAATGTAATAAAAATTTCTATGAAATATTAAAAATAATATTGAAAATATGCAATTGCAAATATTACATTTTTCAACCTTCAATATTATTCATTATATAAAAAACAAATAGTAGTATTTAACATTAATGTTAAAAAAAAGAATGATCTATATAAACAATTACAGATGCTTTGATAATATCTTAAAAAGATTTTGAAAGGAAGTTAAAAGTTGATATTATTGAAAAACTGAAGCATAATTTCTGCATTTTCTATTGTTTAATCCATACATTTGTAATATATTTAGAATCAAATGTTAATATTTATTCATAATGCGAAAATTTATTTTTCCTTTTTGAACTTAAAAAAATAAATTGTCAGTTAAATGTCATGAGTTTTTGGATTTTAAACTAAAGCAATTGATATTCTGACTATCTCATCTTATGAGAAAATTTTATCTAAATTTATAATTTAATATTGAACTTTAATGATTAGATGATGAAGATGCAATTATTATTGTTGACTACAAAATGAGAATTCTTTCTCAAACTGCTTGTAAAACAAAATCATAATTTTTTGAAAAGCGCGAATGGACCTTACATTCAGTTCCGATTTATCAAAACCTCTTAAAGAATGGGTAGGTTTTTACTTAAGTTTGGTGCAAGAATTTAAAAATTGAACTAGTGGAAATCAAGAAATAGATAAATTTATTTGCAAATCACAGTTGGAATCAGTAGATGGAAGAAAGATTTTAGAATGAATTTCTTATGAACAGTTTACTAAAGTTGAATATTTAGCCAAAGAGGATAAAAGTCAAAATATGCAAAATATAAATATTGAAGCATTTGATCAGATGATACTAAGCAAGATGCTTAGTTCATTGTCTCTTCCTTTTATACTGTAATAGAAAATCTTAAACTACAAGCTAAATGGATAATCATAATTTCTGATAATGATTATTTCCCATTAGCATGATTGGTATAATGTGAAAGTAAGGCAGTGGATATTTTTAGAAGCTGGAGAGGCAAAAAGTTCTATAGATTTCCATCACACTTACAATTAAGGAAGTTTGCAAGAAAAGCTAAACATTATATGGATTTATATCAAAGTGAAGTTATTGTAGAATTAAACCAAATTAAATTTGACTAATTTTTCTAAAAAAATAAGAATTTTTTAATCAATCGGATTGCCTATCTATTAACCAATAAAAATACTTTCACGTGAAAATAACGTGATTTTAATTAAAAAAAACCCCCCGTTTTTTATATCTTGGAAATCTTTATATTTTATTTTTTTTCCATTGAACCCGTTTTTTAATCTATAACAAAAAAATATGGCGCAAGGCTCACACGCAAAAAAGTTTAAGGTTAATAATACTAATAAAAAACTTATTAAAAAAACAAAATCAATTATTAATAAGTCAAATAGTAATAAAAGCTCAAACCGTGGAGTTAAGCCAAAGAAAGGAGGTAATGTTTTCTTTTTTATCAATCGATCCACTACGAAGAAATTTACGAAAATTAAAAAATTTTTTTACCCATTAGCAAAATCAATTGCACCAAAAAAACAATCATTAATAAAACAAAAATCAATACAAAAGGTAATGTAAAACTTAAACTCGGGTTTACCTTGAAAATGATTTATTAAATAAATTAAATTATTATTAGAAACTGACGGCAGCTATAAATAAAAATATTGAACAAGTAATCGCTTCTAGAGCTGAATCTGTTGGTGGCGGTCAAAAATTTAATATCGTAAAACTAATTAATGGTAACAATAATAAAGAAGAAAAAAGTAAATCAAAAAAATAAATTATTTTTACGGACTTTTCTTAATTTCTTTAATGATTATTTTCATCAATGGAGCTTCCTTATTATGACGAGCATTTGGATCATTTACAAGGTTTATTAATAACTGGACCATTATCAATTAGCTATTAATAATAAACTCTATGTTAAAAAATAAATTAATAATAAATTACTATATATATATATATATATATATTATTAACATTATGTAAAATTATAAATATTATTAAACATGTATAAGTGATTTCAACCTCATTCATCACAAAATGACCAGACTTTAATTATTCCCACATCTTCCATATCATTAGATTGAGAATCAACCTTTTCTCTTGACACTGAATCTGTCCATCCTGGTGGAGGATTTAATGTCCCTTTATTATTATTGATGCTTCCTCGTGATTTATCCTTTATGATGGTAGTATTACCACCACAAACACTAACGATCCTTCCTTCATCAAATCCAACCCATTTTATTCCAAAGTTATTATTTTCTCTTATATTATTTAAAGAGTCGCTTAAAGTCACGATACATTCACCATGTTTCTTCCTCTTTGCGCTTATTCCAACCGTTGAAAATTCAGTGTCCTGATGATTTGTACTCTTTAAACGTAAAATATCATCACGATCTTTGCTTTTTCGACCTTCATTATTCTTCACCAAATTCCATCCTAAATCCCATATCTTTATCGAATGATCCATAGATCCGGTTATTAGCTTACCATGTTCGTCTAAAGCAACACTCATAACGCTTCCCGTATGCCCATATAATGTACATTCATGTCTACACTCTAACTTTCTTCCTTGTTCCAACACGTGATAAACTTGTAAAGTATTATCAAAATGTGCCGTAACTAACTGACCGGCATTATATGTGATTGTCGTAATGGGAGCAAAAGAAAATTGCTCAACATTCTCGGCGGAATTATTCTCCGAGAGAATTGGAATAAAAGATGGCAAAGAAGAACAATGTCGTGTTGAAATTAGTTGCGCAGATGAAAATTTTATTTCTTGAACACCAACTGACCAACCACCTCCATATAAAGGAACCGAATAAGCAATCGTTGCCTTCCATACGTCTCGAGAGGAATAATTCAATGTTGATGATTGTATGGAATTTTCTGTGATGGATTCCACAGATATTTCAATTGGTGCCCAACAAACAAAACTTCTTAATTGATGAACTAGTCTACAATCAATTTTCTCGACTGGTTCATTACCCTCGATCGATGAATTAAATTGAGCACTGTTATTCAGTTTATAATCCATAAAATATATTGATAGCTCAAAATCTTCGGTACAAGTCACCAAAACTGGAAAATGTAAAGCACAAGCAATAAGCGGATTCTGCGCGCGTGAAGAATGCAAGGTAAAGATTTCCCGGTGTCTCCATTTTCTCATAGTTTTATCATCAGTGCTTGACCTTTCCATTGAATCAAATTCCCAAATGGTAAAACCTCCATTTGAATATCCGGCTATTAATTTATGTATTCCGGTATCGTCTTTCCCTTCATTGCTATCCAATTTCAAACAAGTGACAACAATTGGAAATTTAGATTTCTGCATGGTCTTATACAAGATTTCACTACGCAGAGTATCTATATGCTCATTCTGTTTTCCAGCGCGCCAAAGATGCACTTCGGGAATGTTCTTAGCACTGGAAAATGAAGCAGTTAAAATAACATGTCTGGTAAATTGAACAAGAGGGTTAGAATTGACGGGAGGGATTCGATCGGAATGAAATTGTGTAAAAGAATCAATAGGTTGAATCTTAGGTTGAATCTTTGATGATCCGGCCAGAGAGGAAAAATGATGCATTTGATTTTTGTTAAAATCAACGTAAGGTTTGAAATCAATCACGCGACAATTTCCTGTTTGCCAATTGTGACTGACTCTATATATGTTTTTCCAATCTTCTTCATCCGCCATATCATCACATGTATTGTCTGGTAATATTTGAAATTTTGGAATGCTATTAATCTGGGATGGAATCATTTGAAGACTTTCAAGGCGATAAGTAAGATTGGGACGTTTAGGAGCTTTGAATCGAGACAAGAAAAGATTTTTCCATAACTATTTGAAATGCGAATTTAGTATTTTTTTTAATTGCGTCAAATCAACCAATTTCAAAACTATTAAGAGACGACGAAAACTTACCTGACGATCATTAGCCAATCTCCACCATTTCCGAGAAACTCGTGTACAAATGCTCAAGTCGGCAGCTGACAAATACCTAAAGACGTGAAGGTTAAGTTCGTCAGAGAAAACTTTCACAAAATCTCGTTTATTCTCTTGAACTAAATCATTAAGAGAATTCTGGGTACTATGATTTCGTTTTGTACGTTTGTAGGCGGGTTCATTAGTAAACTGCTGAGTTTTGTCAGATTCCGGTGTTTGGAAAGACATGAAAAACGAATATTAGTATAAATCGCTTACGTAACGCTTTAAGGCATGGACACTTATCTAAAATTTTTAAAAATATTAACCAATCATTTAATCCGATCAAAAAGAAATTTCTTTATAATAAATTTTAATCTAGAAATGTGTTTCTATCTCTTTTCTTTTGTAAGGATTATTTTTGTACCTTAGTCACCGCTGTCTTCGTTGGTTTTTTATTTATATTATTAAAAAAAAAGCAAATAAGAAACCATGAGTTATGTCGCTAAGGGTAAAGATGAATACGTTGAAGATGCGCCTCAAGTATTTTGATATTTTATTTTATTTTTGATTTTTTTATTTTTAAAATAAATCAATTAATTTCAAAATCTTTAGAAACATCGCATCCGTATTACTTTAACTTCTCGTAATGTTAAAGCTCTTGAAAAAGTTTGTTCAGATCTAATTGGAAGGGCGAATGAGAAACAATTAAATGTTAAAGGACCTGTACGCCTTCCTACTAAAGTTTTAAGAATTACAACTCGTAAATCACCTTGCGGTGAAGGTAGTAAAACTTGGGATAGATATGAAATGAGAATTCATAAACGTTTGATTGATTTGCTTTCTCCTAGTGAAATTGTGAAACAAATTGTAAGTGGAATTAATTTATGTACAATATACATTTTTTTATTTTTCACAGAATGCTTTAATCATATTATATTTTAGACTTCCATTTCAATCGAACCGGGTGTGGAGGTTGAAGTTACAATCGCTTCTTAAATTAAAAATTTAATTCATTAATATATTTCATGAGTAATACATTTTAAATAAATAAAAATGGTTCAATCTCCATGTGTTTGATGGATCATAAATTATAAATTTTAATAAATTTAATTATCCTCTAGAATGCGATAAATTTCTAAAAATGGATGCATAATGGAAATTGGATCGTTTAACAAATATTTGATAGGCTTAAGATTGGCTCAACCAATCGATCACGACATTTTTTATTTCAATCGCAGTTTTTCTACCATGTTGATTCTTTGAATACATAGCAGATAGACGTTCCACCGCTAAAGCATTCAAATCAGAAATCGTCTTCATATCATGAAGGGAATTCGAAGTTGACGCAGACGAAATGTTTGACAAATTTAGTAGACGAGACGTGCACTGTAAAATAAAATGAAAATTTTGAGAAATTTATAAAAATTTTATTTCCATAAAAATTGATACAATTGAAATTATGATAAAATACCAATTTAATTCCACATAATGCCCTGATATTATCTTCGCATAATTCCAAAACACGACAAAATTGTTTTAAGGCAACAGGGATATTTTCACTAGTGAATAAAACTTCAGCGTATTTAAGATGATAAAAATGATTCTGCGGTTGAAGTAAAATAAGTTCTTCAAGACAAAATCCTGCCTGTTGATATCTGTGAATGAACATAACAATATAAATGTAAATATAAATCAACGTTATGTTGAATTCTTTACTACTTACAAATGATAATTCAAATACAAGGCTGATAATTCAAGCCATGCCTCCGCGTCATTATAAACCGTATCAAGGTGTCGCGTTAATGCATCAATTGCTTGACCATCCTGTCCCTTGGCTTTATATACCGCAATTCTGCGTTTTGATGCTGCCTAAATCAATCAACAACGAAAATCAGTTTTTTATTTTTAACTTGTCAACTCACCTTTTTGATTATTTCCGTTACTTACTATATTTGCTTCATCTTCTTGTAGAATTTCTTCATATAAAGCTAAAGCGGCATCCAATTTATCATCAGCTTCTAATTTCATTCCTTCCAATATCTTTACGCGAGGCGATCCCGGGAATCTTTTATTTAAGTTTTCTAGGCATTTCTTTCGATATCATAAACAGCATTATTATTTTTTTACTCATAAATTAAACAAAAGTTGCTTCTCAAAAGATAATTGTAAACATATACAATTGTTAATTGATCGTTTCCTAAATCAAGCGCAGCAATGAATATCTGTTCGTATACCGACCAAACTAAGTAAATAAAAAATCAATCAAGTATAATAATGGATAAAGTATAGATAAAACTGCAAACTAGGAACTAACAAACCTTCATCGCCAAGTTTGCCCGTATAACCTCGGTTAATCAGCTTTTCACCTAAAAAAACAACTAGATCAGACTTTCTTTCACCACTCTTGCGTAACTCATGAAGTGTCGTAACTGCCGTTTTATAGTCGAAAGACACCATCATAAATTCCAAACAAAAAAGATAACAATAAAATTGATAGGCAAAAAATATTATGTCAATGTTAATATGATAATAAAATTTGGTTAAACTAAAACAAGGTAAAAGGCGGCATGATACTTGATTTGTGTGATAGTTATATATTGAATTAATAATATTGATAATGAAAAATCAAAAGATCTGATTTCTTTTTTTATTGTGATACAAAACTATGCAGGGAAAACTGATAACTAATTTAAACTAATTTAAACTAACATAATTGATTGTCTACACGTTTTTATTTAACGTTAAGGATTATCAGATATTATTTGTATTAATTTATCAGATGGAATTTAATATTTATCAAAAAAAAATAACGCAATCAGTTGTTTCTATCAAATTTCATTTTTCGCCAACCAAATAATAATAAAATAAAAAATAAAATTTATAGATTTTTTTCGAGCTTATGAATACAATGTCATTAGAAATCGAAGATATTGAATACGAGGCTTTACCTAACTCTTCTTTGGCAGCAAACCTGATCGCTGGTGCTTTTGCTGGTATAGGCGAGCATACGGTCATGTATCCTGTAGATAGCATAAAGGTATGTATATATATTAAGTTCAAAATATCTAAATTATCTCAAAATTTTTTGTTATGTCAATGAACTTGTATCGTATTCTTTATAATGTATTTTATTTAAAATCATTATATGCAATTTAGACTAGAATGCAAATATTGAATCCAGGAAAACAGGCGATATATACGGGTGTCATAAATGCAATTTCTCGTATTTCCTCAACGGAAGGAGTTCGAACCTTGTGGCGAGGAGTCAATTCTGTAATATTGGGTGCAGGTCCAGCGCATGCCTTATATTTTGGAACTTATGAATTTTGTAAAGATTTATTTGGTGCGAATGCAACACAAGGGCATCATCCATTTGCGACTGGTATGCGTCTTTCAAGATTCTACCCTATTAAAGTGTTCAAGATTAACCATTATTAATTTAATTACTAGGAGCTGCAGGAGCATGCGCAACAATAGCGAGCGACGCATTAATGAATCCATTTGATGGTAAATATTTGTTTATTAAAAAAAAAAAAGATTCAGTCACCAAAATCTAACCTAAATTTTCTCACTACCAGTAATCAAACAACGAATGCAAGTTCACGGGTCAACGTATCGTAATGTGCTTGATTGCGCAAGAACGGTATATGCAAGAGAAGGATTGATAGCCTTCTACATATCTTATCCTACTACACTCACAATGACCATTCCTTTTCAAGTGGTTCAATTTAGTTCTTACGAATATTTTCGTAAGGTGTTAAATCCAAGTGGACAATACGATCCAAAGACTCATGTTATAGCTGGAGGTCTCGCAGGTGCAATAGCTGCTGCCGCAACAACGCCTTTAGATGTTGCAAAGACCTTGTTACAGACACGGGGGAATTCCGATGACCTACGTATTCGAAATTGTAACGGTCTTCTGGAATCCTTTCGATTGATTTTTGAACGAGATGGTTTAAATGGTTTTTTGAGAGGGTTGAGACCAAGAGTACTATCACATATGCCTTCAACTGCTATTTGTTGGTCGATGTATGAATACTTTAAGTGGTTCATTATGTCTCACGATCGAAATAAAATACCTGACAAGTTACATCTTACGCAATAACCATTTGAAAAGAATTAGAACCTTAGGGTAACAAAAAAAGGACATTAAATATTGTCTTTTGGTAGACAAAGACCAAGTACGCGAATTTCAAATTTTTTTTTTTTCCGAAAAGACAATTAATAATTACTTCCCTAACTTGTTTTTTTTGTGGGAAGGCATTATAGTATTATTATTATTATTATTATTATTATTATTCTATTATTATTTTTATTATCATTTTCTTTTGTACATTTTTTTATTGTACATTTTTTTTTCAATATACAATTCAGTTTCTCTTTAATTTGTTGGGAGAGGATATATATATATTTATATATATAAAAAAACGATTGGAATTACAAAAAAAGAAAAAAATAAAATAAAATTAATTTTTTAATGGGAAACATATCGATATTTATATTTTCAAAACTGTGAAATGATTCGATGATTTAAAAATCATTCGATTGATTTTTTGACATTTCTTGACATGCGGAATGTCAAAAGTTTGTCGATCTATTATGACATTTCAAATCTGTCCCACGTGATGATAATCTAGTTGAAATAAAAACCATTTAAATTTTTATTTTTCAAGTTTGAACTTCATGATAGATCTACTTTACCAATGAACGACTCGGATGATAATAGCAATAATGGAGATGAACTTTCTGATTCTGATATCGAAGTTAACGACATTTTGAATTTTGTGAGTGTCGATTTTTAAAATTTATGGTTTAACGTGTGAATGTCTAAAATTTTTTTGTTTTATAATTATATAAGCACACAGAAAAAGGAGCCATAAAAGATCCTCAATGCGTAACCTTTAATATTACTGGTGAGGATCATACTTTGGGAAATGCTTTACGTTATATGATCATTCAAAAGTAGTATTTTTATGTTATTGACCTATCAACTCGAGTAAACAAAGTAAGATTTTCTCATAACCAAGTTTTATTTCTTGTTAAAAAAGTCCTGAAGTAGATTATTGCGGTTATTCAATCCCACATCCATCGGAAGATAAACTTAACATAAGAATTCAAACGACAGGTAAAAGTTTGAAACACCAAATGAATCATGTTAATCACATTTATATAAAAATTGACTTCTATATTATTTATATTATTTTGTTTAGAGAATACAACGGCAGTAGACGCAATGCGTAAAGGACTTGAAGACTTAAAATCGTTGTGTGCAAAGGTGTCTGAAACATTTTATAAAGCTAATAAAGATTTTGATGATATAAATAATTTAAGGTAAAAAGAAGAATAATAGAACTTGAGGTAATTTTAAGGAAAATCAAAACCAAATGTTTTGAAATTATATTAAAAAATAAAAAAAAGTTATCAAAGTTTTCTTTGTATTTTAAATCATTTATTAGTTCAAGGTTTTAACGAAATTTTTGATCCCAAAATTTAACGTTGAGATTTACATTCTTTTCCATAATATTAAAAAAATAATCCATCGTATATTGTGAATCAAATTTGAGATACATGATGTCATTTTTAAATTCTAATAAATCGTATAAAATAATAGATCATAAATCATCTTTACTCTAAAACCGAAAAGGTTTTCATCTTCGGGAGAGGAGATTATTTTTTTTCTACACAATTGAAAGCTTTGTGGTGAAATTCTGGAATTGGTAAAAAATGGTTTAGTTTAATTCTTGAATGTGCATTACAAGGTTTTCCTTTCAGTGGGACAAATTCATTGCCTTGTATAAGTATTTTCCCTCGGAAGGAATTGACGATGGAAATATTTAAAAGTTTAGCAAAAATATAATAAAAATATTTTCGTGTAACTCTAATGGAGTTATTTTAATAGCTGATGCTTCTCTTCAGGAGGTATTGGAGGAGACTCGAGAGCTTAAAGTTTCTTCTCCCAATTGCGTTGCCTTAACACTTTTCTTTTGCACCAAGTCTAAGAATTAACCAAGTCTTTCTATCATCTTCGCAAAATGAAGGGCTGGCAGGTACCGTTGTCTCTGGTCAAGTGATGAACGGCCAAAATATGCTGGAAGTCCGTCCAGGTTACACAAAATTTCGATTTTGTCACATGTAATTAGCCAATCAAATAAAATAAAAAATTAAATCAGGCTTAATTTGACAAGCCTTTAAATGCCAGACTCTTGTATAAATCCATAAATACTTACAAAGTCCATTTAAATTATTTTATTTGTTTAACTTTATTTGTTAGTATAGAATAACATTATTATTAATTAAGAATTCTTAATTCGCCTCTTACTTTGAAAAGTAAAATAATAATTATAATAAGTATTTAAGAAGCCACCACTTTATATACTGTAAATAATTATACCTATTAATTATAATAAAGATTTTTAATAATAAAGAAAATTTATAACAAATTTATATAAATATCAAAAAGTCAAATTTCACAATTCTAAAAATGATTTTTTTGTATCATTTAATTGATTTGCTATTATTGCCGCATCGTCTGTTGCACTATCTGAATCAGTTTCAACTACATTTTCATCATCTTTATTAATAGTATTGATTTCAATCCGTTCATTTGTCAAATTCGTTAAGCTTGTTATCAATGCATCAACATTCTTTTTAACCTCATTCTATAAGTAGTTTAAACATATTAAACACTTATATTGATATCTTTGTAAGCAATAGCTGTGATAACCATACTCACACGCTAAAACACTGCTATTAAAAGAGTCGTTAAAAGTATGATCACAATAAATAAAATCACATAAGTTGGAAATATTAGGTTTTCTAGAAGTTACAAAGCCTCGTGAAAGATGCTGATTCGTTATTTCGTAACTTACATCTGGAATTTAAATGCGACGTAATATTCCGTAGATTTACGATTTTTGTAATATTTCAGAGTATTACGTTGTAAAACTACGTAAGTTTACGAGTTCGTAAGATTTAC